TAGGATATTGTCTAAAATTTTTTGGAGTGTTGGTTTGGTATTCATGAAGTTCCTAAGGTGCTCTCTCTCACGAAAGTATCTTATTTCTCCATCCATTTTAAAAGATCGCTTTGCAGGGTACATCAATTTGGGTTGCAGGCTGTTTTCCTTTAGCGCTTGGAATACGTCACTCCAAGCTCTTCTTGCCTTGAGGGTTTGCATTGAGAAGTGTGCTATGATTCTGATGGGCTTTCCTTTGTATATGATTTGTTTCTTTTCTCTAACTGCTTGTAGAATTTTGTTTTTCTGTTGGCTTTCTGGAATCTTAACTATTATAGGCCTATGTGTACATCTGTTTGATCAGTGCTAGTTGGAGTCCTACATGCCTCACTTATCTGTATGTCAAGTTCTTTTCCCCTGCTTTGGAAGTTTTCTGCCATCACTTCTGTGAACAGCTTTTTTATGTTGTCTGCACTCTCTCCGGTTTCTTCATTGACTCCAATCAGTCTTATGCTATTCTTTGTTGCACTATCTAGCAGCTGCTGGATTGATTTCTTGTTGTCCCTTACTATTTTAAAGAAGTTTTTCATTTTGTTGTCACTAATTGCAATCTTATCTTCTATATCTGAAATTCTGTCCTCACATTGGCTCATTCTGCTGTGTAAATTTTCAATGGAGTTTTTAATCTCCGGGAAATCTGTTTGCATCTGTTTTATGGATTTCATTTGTTTCCTATGATGGGATTCCATCATACTCCTCAGCTCTTCTATTTTTTTATCTGTGTCCTCTCTAGATTTATTGATCATGTCTTGCACTATGGGCACAATCTCTGTTGACATCTGAGAAATTATTTCTGATTTCATTTTTCCAGATCCTCTTAAGGTGTCAGATCAGGGAGACCAGGGATTATCAGGTTGTTCCATCTCATTTCCTTTTGGGGTTGCTTTAGGTGACCTGCAAGTACGGTTTTGAGCCTTGTTCACATGTCTTATTTCAAAAGCAGGGGGAGTGGGGTGCTGCTGGTGTCCACACAGCTCACCTCCTTGGCACTGGGGGCAGTGGTACAGTGGCCCAGAAGGTGCACCTCCTCTGTGCTGGAGGCAGTTCTGCTCCTCTGCACTTGGGCTGGTGGTATGGTGGCCCAGAACATTCACATCCTTTGCAGTGGGGGCAGCTCTGCTCCTCTCAATAAAGACTGTGTATAGGAAGTAAGATCAATGATCATAAATCTAAAAAAAAATTACAACATATGAAACTCAAGAGCAAACACTAAATAAATAACAGGAAACAAACTTTTTGTTTTGTTTTGTTGTTTTTTGGTACCAGGGATCAAACTCAGGACTTTGTGCTTGAGAAGCAGGCAGCGGAACCACTGAACTAAATCCCCAGTGAAACAAACATTTTTTCAGTAAATGACCAAAGAAAATGGAGATCTGGAAGAACACAATAAGGATGTAGACTTTTGCAAGAATGGAGAATCAATTTACACTCTGCACTCACTTACTTTACTTTACTGATTACCAAAACATACAGACCAGTAACTTCTTTCCAACCAGAGAATACATTGTGCTAATTTTCCTGGAGATAGATGTGATTCTTTACAAGTAAATTTGAAATACTGTTAATCACATGACCAATGGAATGAATGAGAAAGCACTTGGCTCTGGTTTCACACATTAGCACATGTGAACAACAGCAAGAGAAAAAAAAACCCTCTGAAAATAGTTCCCTATGCAATTTCTATAATACTCACTTATTGAAAATTCCAAGGGAGGAAACAAAAAGTACATGGTTCAGAGAAAGTCACATGTGGTAAACTTAGGAAAAGTCACCAAACTGAGAGAGAGAGTGTGGTCATCCAAGGAGCAAGAGAGGTTTGAATCAGCTAGGGTATCAATCACCTGGATGCTCCCATCCACTGCCCAAGGCCCAGCGAAGAAACTTTCTGAATATTCTCAGGATATTTACATTGTTATTAGCATTAAATCTCATTAACAATTTTGAAAATAAAATTTATTGCAAAATATTTAAACTCTAAATTATCATGAAGAAAGTACACATTAATTTATAACTGTCTGCATTCATATATGCAAAGATGAGACATCCTTCACACACTAGGCAGCAATAAGCAAAGCAGCACAGGAGCACAGGAGAGCTGCAGACCCCCAGCAAGCAGTGGTCAAACTCTGTATTGCCGATTAGGAGGACAGAGTAGACTATCAGAGAAAGAGAGAACAGACATCAGAGCTGATCAATGACTACACGTCTGGGTTATGGGTGCAATGCTGTGCCCACCTGGACAGGAGTGGTTGTTACATTGACACCGAGAAGGATAGATTACATAGAAAGTTATGCAAAAAGACACACGAGTCTATCAATGATTCATCAAAATCTGCAGAAACTATTTTAATTTGACATTATTCAATTGTACCTCAAAACCAATAATGAATAGCGTGATCAGATAATGATATAAAAGGCAGTTCTCCAAAAGGAACAGTCCTTGATACATATTCTACTAAATAGAGCATCAAACTACATGAGGCAAAACATGAATGTGAAGAGAAATATCATTGATTCACAACTATGTCTGAAGACATCAAAACAGCTCCATCACTAATTGACAGCTGAAGAAAGAGGAAAAATGTGTAACAGAGCAGTTAAAATTAACAACATTATGCTTCACGGGGATTGACTGGATATTGCATAGTGCTTTAATAACTACATAGTACAAAGTCTTCTCTAAATCACAAGAAATGTTTGCCAAATAAACCATGTTCAGAGCTACAAGGGGGAAAATAATTGAAATATGTTGGGGATATGTACCAACTCTCTATAATGAATATAACCATTATGTACTGTAAACATATACCAATAAAAGTTAAGAAAAAAAAGAAGAAAAAAACCAGAAAACAATGTGTTCAAATGGAAATTGTGCAAAGCAGGCTCTCACATCTCTTGAAATGAAAGTTGACACCAACAGCATTAATATTTTAAATATTTCTAAGAATTGGAGATTAAATCATGAGTTTTAAAAAGATATGTTCCATATGCAGGGCTTGATTAAATATTAAAATGAATACTCAACATATGGTCATTTCAGGAACCCAGAAATGGGTGCATCAAAAGAAATGAAAAACAATGAATATACATATTAGAAAAGAAGAAAGGTCACAATATAAGAAATTTAGAGAATCAATACTTAAATAAAAATGGAAATCACTCAACAAATATGAAATTTCATTGCTCATTATTTATATAGAGTAAAGACAATAGAGAATTATTAAAAGTATCAAAGGCATTATTGAATAATTAATGTAATCTGTTACAATAAAATCTAGAGAAGAAAAGTCATAAGATCCTGTCAGCGGATACAGACAAAAGAGAAGACTAAAAAGTAATAAGTAGAGATTAAGATGGAACATATAAAATTGTCTTGACTTGCATATAACATCATGGTATATGCTGGAAAAATTAAACAAAAACCTAATGGAGTTACTAAGACACTGTACCACGGAGTACATCTCTAGTTTAAAATACAATAATATGCCAAGCAACTATGTATCAGGTATAAACAAGTGTATTGGACGGGGGCTGGGGTTTTAGCTCAGTGGTTCTGCCGCCTGCCTCGCAAGCACAAGGTCCCGAGTTTGATCCCCGGTACCAAAAACAAAAAACAAAAACAAAACAAAACAACAACTACAAAAGTAAATTGGAAATTATAAAATGTACATCATATGTAGCCCTCAGAGCGCCACACTTTTACGAATGTTAAAAGCCCATATCTGAAAGAGGTTCAACATGAGATACAATAAGTGCAGGATAAAACTACAAAAACATAATAAAATATATTTGATGGACAAATGTAAATAAAATCCAGTTATTCCACATGTTGACAAAACAATAAACCATGTCTCTATAAAATATTAGATGAAAAATTCATATGAAAATTTTTATTTTGAGTTTTCTTCATTTGCACACCAGCATTTTTTTTTTTTTTTTTTTGGTACAGGGGTTTGAACTCAGGACCTGGCGCTTGCGAGGCAGGGGGCGGAACCACTGAGCTAATTCCCCAGCCCACACCAGCATTTATTTTATCAAAAACTCTCATTCATTATCACTTGAAGGAAATAATCAACAATAACAGGTTTAATCACATCAAAAAATTTTTAAAAACCACCATGAAATATCCCAAACTCAGAGGCTGTGGAATAAGGGCATGAAGTGGCTGAAACATGACTTTCCTCACAATCCTATGGGCAATAAGCCGAGGCACAGAAACCACACATTATCTATTCAGCACAGCAGTAATGATGTACTAACCTCAATTACTAACTTACTCAAAATCGAAAGCATTTAAACCAAACAAGAGTTTGTATGAAGAAAATGTTAAGGTCCAAAGACCTTCCAGAACATCCATCCTGTGAGCACCTTGGGTGTAGCTAGATGAAATCAGAGAGACGCACTGGAAGGAACCACAGGTGGTTTGCGCACCTGCATCACGACTCTATGGCTCTTTACCCATATGTATGGCTAATGCAAAATAATTGACTTAGACAAGTTTTTTGCTTCTAGAGGTAAATTCTCTGTTCCATTTTCAACTAAGAAAATCATCCATGTCCAATAAGTCCCCTCCTCCTAACAGCACCTTCAGATACAGAACTGAACGAGTGAGTGCACTGAGGAGAGGGCCTACACCAGCCGACTTTCAAACTCATGTGACATGTCAGAGACATGTGGGATAGGAGCTGTAACAGCTGGTTTGCTGCTGGGAGAAAGAAACAGGGCACCCACCAGCAGGCTCACCCACGCAGAGCCCTCACACACGCGTCGTGAGGCTCCCCTCACCCCCACTCGCTGGACAGCACGGTGAGGAGCGGGGCTGCAGGCGCTGAGCTGGCAAGGCCCCCTCACTGGCCCAGGACAGGACGCGCAGGCCCTGGCAGATTCCCAGTCCCACCCGAGGGTAACAGGACCAAATGTGTGCCAATGGGAGATGACGCACAGGAACAAGCATTCATCACCTCATCAAGGGAGGCCCAGATCCTGCCACAGCGGGTTCTCTCCACTTCTCAGCACAAGTTGTCCATGCACCACAGGCCTCGCTCCTGTGGGACCATGTGGCCCTGCATCATCACCATCTTCAGAACTTTCCCACGCAGCCAGCTGGTAGAGTTCATCGAGCAAGAGAGGCTAAGCCGGGTTGGGAGTCTCTCAGCGACACACGGGCTGCTTCTCACTTGAGTGCCTCACAGAGGATTCTATTTTCTGCTGAGCATGCCTGACCGGACAGTTCACACAACAGAAACTCTTCTTCCCTGAGGCAAGGCTGCTCCATTTTCTGCCCACTGAGCCAAGAGAGAGAAGAAAAGCAATCCAGTAACCGCTTGAGCCCAAATGGCAGACTCTAGACAAAACCCTCCTGGCCCAGGATTTCTCCAAGGACACTGACTTCATTCAGCCTCTTGGGTCATTGCTTCGAAGCAGGATTTGCTTCTAGCTTTGCAGAGCTGCCTGTGTCTCCTTACAGGACTCATGGGATCTTCTTTCTCTGTTGTCTCTGAAAATAAGATCACAACTGTGCCACTACACTAGAGTCAATGTCACTTGGAGAGAATCACCAAACCCAAAGAAGGGGCTGGGTCCAGGCAAGGGCAGAACATGACTCAATTGAAGGAGAGGCCGAAGGTTGTCAGCGGGCAGAAAATGAAATGAGGCACAGAGCTTCCAGGCACAGACTTTCTTCAGCCTTATCTAGACATTTTCAGTAAACTAACTAAAAGCATGCCAAGAGGGCATATAAATATTTAGCAAATGAAGAAGCTGGTATAATATGATGATAGTATTATGGAAAGGAGTCAAGATGAAAGAACAGAAAAGACTTCCAGTGCCTCAGACAGGAAACTTACTTTTTCCAAGGTCACAAAGAAATCCAGAACTCTGAGGACTACTAGTCTTAGCAAAAGGGCCAATGTAGTCCTGCCCTTAATCCTTTCTCTGTAGGGAGGGAGGAATAGCTAAGACCTTAATAGACTGAATTTTTCATAACGTGTTATTCCCGCCTCACAGATGGAAACTTTCTTCTCTTTCAACATTAATTTCCCCACAGTAAAGTGCTCACCTACAATCATGTGGTGGGTAGACTTACTGCTCAATGTATTGGCCTGAAAGATGCCTAGGATAATAGTATCTTGGTCTGTTCATGACAATCATGATTCTATGGAGGTTTATGCACGCGTATGTTAATGTAACAAATAATTTATGTCTAAATTTGTTTGGCTTCTTCGGGTGTAGTCCTCTAGTTTCTAAGAATATCAAATCCTTAAGTATAAATCATGAAACAAGATTTCTAAATCCTTCAAGCAACTTCTCTCCTCTTCCCTATGAACAACAAGCCTCAAAAGAAACAATGGGGAAGAAATTCACAAGAAAACCCACACTCAGAATGTTAAACATGTTCCTGAGCTTACCCATCACTCTCTCTGTGCCCCACGCACCCAGGGTCTCCCTCCTCGCAGGTGATGAAAATATGCAAAACCAGGAAACTTAGACTGGGAACTTTCACACGTTTCTTATCCATCCTCCCGGGGTAAAGTTTCTTTCTTTCTACAGGATTAATTCTGAAAAGATGCAACAACTCACTCACCCATTCACTGAAGGCTGACCTAGGCCTTTTCCAAGTTTCTCTTCAAAATTCAAATGTGTGTTTTTTGCTGAACACTAGGAAATGCTCCAACAGTAACAGGCGAGGCCAAGCTTCAATGCTCACACCACTCAGAGTTAAGACCATTCTGTCAAATTCGGAGCTCACGTCTAATACACAATCCGATTCCAAAAATAACCGTCTTTATTCAAAAGGATATATACTGACACTGTTCAGGAAAGTATAATAGTTTAAGTTTCTTTGTTCCAGACTCTGGGGAGAATTATCATTTCAATAAAAATTATTATGAACTACCAGTCTGAAATTTATAGAAACTTACATAAAGGTTGGGGAATCCACAGATTAATTTCACACTGGTTACTGCACATTCTTTAAGGACATAAATTACAATTTTCAGGACAAGAATGCAAATAATTGATTTTTATTTTGACTGTGCATTATGATCATGTAAACAGAAATGATTGCAAACCTCTCACTATGGCTGGGCTTGGTCTTCCACACCTGTATTCACATCACTCATAAATTGAGGCAGCAGCAGGACGTGTAACTTCCAGCTTATACATCACAGGGACGCACTATCAAAACTAACTAATACTAAAACATGAAAAATGGATGTAGCTTAGAGCCAATGTCTTGAATTCAGTCACAGGTACACTTCCCACGACACTTGGATAATGATGCTCACCTAATTTTTTATCCCACAACAAGGCCAGACCTAAGTTTGTTTTGCCTCATAAGACATAAGGCAAACGGAATAAACACAAGTCTTGTCAGTCTAACTTTAACTAAGTTTCTCAGGATTTTTCCAACCTGTGACCTCTGAATCACATTCAACACAAGGCAGCATTAAAAGACAAAATGGTAAATCATGAAGAAGTAACCAGGGAAGCCACCAAAAAAAACCCCAAGAAAACAAGAAAATACAATCCAACAGTTACTAGGTGACACTAAAAAGACCAACCAAAGCTTACTGCAGCGAGAGAAAAGCTAGAACATAACACAGATTGTATTATTAATATGTTTACAGAAATTATGCCAGAAAATTTCCCAAATATATGGAAAGAGTTAGAAATACAATTAAGCGAGGTTTCCAGAACAGCAAACTATGATGAAAAAAATGCTCAGCAAGATATGTCCTTTCTAAATTGCCTACCTAAAGATTTTTCCAAGCAGTCAAAGAAAAACAATAAATCACATATAAAGATAAACTCATTAGAATTACAGCAGACTTCTCAACAGAAAACTTATAGGCCTGAAGAGCTTGGAGGGAAGTATTTCAAGCTCATAGAGCAAATAGCTTGCAACCAGTTTAACATGCCCACCAATGTCTTCCTCCAAACTACATGGAGAAATAAGGACATTTCATGAAAAAGACCAATGCAAGACATTCATGACTATGGAACCAGCACTTGAGAAAGTAAGAATATCCTACCCAGAAATGATAAGACCAGTACAACTAAAACTCCCAAAGAAATGAAAACAAGCCAATCCAATAGATAAACAATATCAAAAAAAGACAGGAAAATAAAGAGGAGTCATCAACAAAAATGAGCAAAATGAGAGTAAATAATCAACACATAACAGAAATATCTATGTTAATCACCTTAACCCTCCAATTAAAAGACACAGACTATCAAACTGGATCAAAAACTGAATTTAACAGTCTGTTGCATGGGAGAATTTCATCTAAACCAAAGAGATATTCATAGACTAAAAATCAAAAAGTGGAAAACAGTATTATCATCTACCAAGATCTCCAAAAAGTAGTGGTAACAGTTTTAATTTCAGACATGATAAACTTCAAGTTAAAACTGATCACAACAGACAAAGAAGATACTACATACTAGTTAGGGGAAGAATCCAACAAGAAGAGACAGTGCTTATAAGTATTTAGGCATCAAATACTAGAACATCCATCTTCATAAAAGAAACACTGCTGAACAAAAAGATGGAATAAATACTAACAGAATCATGGTGGGGAATCTCAACACCCCACTTTCACAAATTGGTGGATCAACTAAAAATATATCAAGAAGAGAATATCAGAGCCGAACCACAACCCTGAACATACGGACTTCAAGGCACGGACAGAACATTCCACCCCACTACAACAGAGTATACATTTTTTCTGTAGCACACGGTACTTTCTCCAAAACAGAGCTCCTTGTAAGCCACAAGCCTGATTAAGTAAATATAAAAAATCAGGATCAGCCCACGCGTATCTTCAGACCACTGCACAATGAACATATAAATCAAACACAGAAGAAATCACAGAAGGTGTAGAAGCACTTTGAAAATTAAAAACACACTACTAAACAAACAACGAGGCAGAGAAGAAATCAAGGAAGAAATTTAAACATTTCTGGAAGTTCAGGACAATGCCTGTACAATTCACCAGAGCTTCTGGGACACTAGGAAAACAGAACTAAGAGGGAGGTTTTCTACAATCAATGCTCACTCACATTAGGAAAAACAGAGCAAGCTCAAATACATAACCCTTTGAGATATTTTTAAATACTCCAAAAACAATAGTAATGCAGGACCAAACTGAATTTAACAAGAAAAAGTATGAAGATCAGAATGAAAATCAATGATATTGAGATGGAAAAACAATACAAACAATGAATTGAAGATTCAATCAAATAAATAAAACAGATAAGCCTTCCGGGCAAATCGAAATCATCTTTCAGAGAAAGGAGAGTTGGGTAAAATTTAAAAGTTCATTGCCAGGCAAGGACAGCCTCAGGAAAGGAGTCCTTCTAGGCTGACCCAGAGATAAGAAAGTTTCTCCTTTTTATACCTTGCTCACAGGCTCTGGGGTAGCGATTACACAGAATGTGGCAAGAGTAGCTTAAGTTGCAATCACACAGGATGTGGCAAGGGTGTGATAAAGCAATTTTCCCAGGTGTCAAGGTTAGGTACATAGATAAACAAACTTCAGGGCTGGTCTCTAATCTCTCCAAGAACAGGCTGCCCCACAAGAGGGGGAAGGCCCACCTGGAGTTTTCAAACACAAGTTTCAAACAGGGTTTTAGGGGTAGCCCACACAAAGTGCTTAAGCACTGCATTATTACTACATCCCAATAATTATCCATTCCAACTTAAGTCTGGCAGCTCTTTAAACCTCAAGCCCTTAGGGAAACTTACCAAGACAAAAAGGGAAAATGCTCACATCTTTGTAAGTAGAAGTGAAAAAGGCAAAATCACAACAGACAACAACAAAATCTAGACGATAGTAACTGCTGTGGAAAATTTTATTCCAGGAAATTGGAAAAGTTCAAAGACGTGGACAGGTTTCTAGACTCATACGAATTTCAAAAGCTAACCCAAGAAATCACAAATATGCTGAACAACCCAATAACAAGCAATGGAATTAAGACAGTAACAATCTACCAAATTTAAAAAAAAAAAAAAAAAGCCCAGGACCTTACAGATTCACTGCTGAATGACAGGAAGCATTTAATCTAGACTCATACGAATTTCAAAAGCTAACCCAAGAAATCACAAATATGCTGAACAACCCAATAACAAGCAATGGAATTAAGACAGTAACAATCTACCAAATTTAAAAAAAAAAAAAAAAAAGCCCAGGACCTGACAGATTCACTGCTGAATGACAGGAAGCATTTAAGGAACACCCATACTCAAGCTCTTCCAAGAAACTTAAAGGTGTGCAGTGTTTGCAAATTCATGTACAGAAGCCGGCATCACTCTGATTCAAAACCAGTTAAAGACCCATCTACTACTGGCCAATCTCCTTATGGGATATAGATGCAAAAATGCTCAAGAAGATATGTGTGAATACAAGGCAGCACAGAATCAAAAAGATCATCCATCCTGACCAAGTAAGTTCCATCCCAGAGATTCAAGGATGGTTTATTATGTGCAAATCAGCATTTGTAAGACACCACATAGAGAGAACCAAGGTCAAAACTACCTGATCAGATAAAAAGACACAAAATCTTTGAACACAATCCAACACACATTATGATAAGAACCCCGAAGAAACTAGGTATAAGCATTGGATAAATTCTGAATCCTGAATTTGGTAAAAAGCTATTTATCCAAAAAAACAAAGCGCTATTTATGACAAACCAATGACCAATATCACATTAAATAGGGAAAGACTAAAACCACTCACTCTCAAACATATGTAAGCAGACAAGGATGCCCTCGATGACCACTTTTATTCAACATAGTATTCAAAACATTAGCGAGAGGAATCAGGCAAGAGATAGAAACAAAAGGGCCACATACAGGAGAAAATGCTCAGATTATCAGTACTTGCAGATGCCACAATAGTCTACAGGGAAAACCCAAAGGATCTCACCGAAAACCACTTCAAATTAATAACCAACTTGAGAAATGCAGAAGGATACAACGCCAACACACCACAATCAATAGCATTTTTGTACACCAGTAACGGACTCAATGGGAAGGAAAATATGGGAACAATATTCATGGTAGCATCAAGAAAAATTAAATACCTAGGAATTTACCAAACCAATGAAGTGTAAGGCTTTTACAAAGAAAACTACAATACTAATGGAGTATTACTCAGCCATAAAGAATGAGAAACTAGAGACAGTTATAGCTAAATGGATGCATATTGAGGCCATACTCTTAAGTGAACTAAATAGGACACACATGTGTAAATACCAAATAGTTTCTCTGGTGTGAGAAACTGAAAGTGTACATGAGGACCAAAAGGTATAATAGATAACGTGAAGTAGGAAGAAAAGGGGCAAAGGGGAAGGGGAGGGGGAAGGGGGGGAGAGGAAAGGAAAGAAGGGAAAGGAAAAAATATGAGGAAAGGAAAAAACAGAAACAAAGTCTTTGTAAATAGGAAGGGGTGCAGGGGTAGAAGGGTGGGCAGGGAACGGGGAAAAAAATAAGAACCAAAATATGTCATGTGAAGGTACAAATTCCCAATGATGAATCTCATCGTATTGTATACCTAAAATGTATAAGAAACTTAATGAATTAAAAAAACAAAAAAGAAAACAGAAAACTCTGAAAAAAGAGATTGGTGGGAACATCACAAGATGGAATGCTAACCCCCTTCCCGGGTTGGCAGAATCAACATTGTCCAAACAGCCATACTCCTAGAACTGTTACACAGATTTAATGCAGTCCCACTCAAAATACCAACAGCATACCTCATAACCTGAAGAAAACAAGTCTCAAATTCATATGTAACCAGAAGGGATGTAGACTATCAAGAGCATTCTTGGACAATAGGAGCAAAGCAGGGGGCATCACCATGCCTGAATTCAAGCTATACTACAAAACAGTAATGAAACTGGAATTGTACTAAAGCAACAAGGGGCACATGAGTCAATGGAACAGAAGAGAGGACTAAGAAACATCCCCAGACACATTCAGCTATTTCATCCTTGACAGAGAGGCCAAAAGCATTGGAAAGAATGACAGCCAATCAAACGATGGTGCTGGGGAAACAGGGTTATCTGTTTGCAGAAAATTGAAACTTGACCTATATTTCTCACCATGAAAGAAACTAAAATCAACATGGATGAAAGATCTAAACATTAAAGAGCAACGTTGAACCTAGTGGAAGTTACAATAGGTAAAATATTTGAAGCCATAGGAGCAGGAAAGAATATTCTAAACAAAACTGCAATTGCACAAGAAATAACAGCAAGACTCAACAAATGGGATTATATCAAATTGAAAAGCTTCTGTACAGCAAGGGAATCAACCAGTAGAGTGAACAGACAACCTACAGAGTGGGAAAATATTCTTACCAGTTACTCCTCAGACAGAGGACTGATATCTAGAATATATTAAGAATGAAAAAAAGTTAGACCACCTAACATAAAAGATTCAATCAAGAAATGGGGAAGTAAAATGAACAGACAGTAGTTCATAGAGCAAGAAACACAAATGGCCAATAAATACAGGAAAAAGTGTTCAACATCTCTGGCCATTAGAGAAATGCAAATGAGAACAACGCTAAGATTCCACAAAGAATGGCAATTATTAAGAAATCAAATAATAACAAATGCCAGTGAGGCTGTGAGAGAAGAAATTCTGCTACATAGTTGATGTGTATGTACAACTAGTGCAAACATTATGCAAATCACTATGGACATTTCTCAAAGAACTGAAATTAGAAATTCCATATGACCCAGCTATCCTCCTCCTAGGTATCTTTCCCAAAGATCTAAAGACACTGTGCCTCAGCAATACATGGAAACCAACCTTGGTAGCACCACAACTCAGAACAGCTAAATCCCGGAAGCAGCCTGCATATCCATCAACAGATGGCTGCATATGGAAAACGTAGTACACATACATTATGGAATACTATTTAGTTACAAAGAAAGAAAAATTTGAGATACTTGTGGGAAATGGGTGCACCTGAAAAATTAAGCAGTGAGTGAAATAAATCACACACACAAGCTTAAATACCACATACTAACTCTCACTTGAGTCAGGCAAAGTACAATAAAAAGCACAACAAAGGATGGATAGAAGGAGACAAGAGGATCGATCTCTTGCAGATGGAAAGCGGTCCTGGATACTGAGGGTGAGAGGAGAGGGGAAGAGAAAATAAATAGAACAAAGATATACCATGTAAAAGGACCTAATAACTTCAACGTATGTACACATTTTGCCATAAACATGAAATAAGATTAATAATATCAACATGAATAAAAAGAGAGAAAGGGGATTTAGGGAAGGAATGGAGACATGTGGGAGGGAAGGGAATTAAAGAAGAATCGAGCTGTATTATGTACATGTACTCCCTACACAAGGCGGCTGCAAACTGCCTGTCCTGTGAATGTGTAGTGGCAAAAAAGTACACAGTATGTCCAAACGTCTGTATATTGCAAAATGATTCCCAAATCCTACCTAGTTAGCATATTACCTAACACACTTACCTTTTGAGTATGTGGCGAATATGCCAGAAAATACTTCCTTGGCAACAGACCAAGCAAGCACACATTCTCCCTTCATGCTTTCCCTAAGAACAACCTGACTTGCAGAGATCTACGGTGTAGGCGCCGCTACTGGCACCCTTCCTCCTGCCATTCTCTTCCACCTCCTCTCATCCACCCTAAGCAGAAAACCCTTTCTGCCTAGAGATCGAGATCCCTGCACAGCTTCTACTTGGGGCTTCTGCTGTACTCTAGGACTGCTTTGAAAGTCTGCCTCAGAGAGCATTTCCGTACTTAAACAGTGCCTATAGACAGGCCAAGATCCGTAGGCATTAGTTCAGAGATGACACCCCGTCCCTCTCTACCCATACACATATCACATATATGTATGTCCACGCAAAACTCCCAGCTCAAGGCATTTCTTTCTCAGCATGGGTTTAACAGGCAGCCCCTCCTGGAAATCGTCCTCAGCAGGTACGCTTTCCCCTGGCCTTGCTAATACTTTTACATCCCTTCCATTTTCCCCAGAGCCCTAAGCTCTATGGCAGTCTCCCTTAAATAGTCTACTCGCGGGTAGGGGTGTCGCCGAAACAATTAAGTAAGATTACAAATTTCTTTTGCATGCTCTTTATGGAACCCAGGAGTGCACTGGGTGTTGGGCAGGTGTTCACCACTGAGGCAGCTCACCACACTTCCTTGAATTCTCAGGACTTTTGTCAATACCTACAGTGAGTTTGGAAATGTGAGGACATATTGGAAATTTAGGAGCTCGCCATCAATATAAAAGAGCAGAAGTCTGAGGAGAGGAGTTGTGGCTATGAGACCCTGCATCACAGACATCTGTAAACCTCCCGATCCCGCAGATCTGCTGCTGGCAGGAATGAGACAGGACCTAGCCCACCGCAGCTGCACCCAGGTTCCACCCGCCTCTGCGTCGGGGTCTCCCCAACCTCTTCCCCTCCCCAGACTGGTGGAGATGCGAGGGCAGCAGGGGGTTCCCAAGATGGCACTGTGCGCCGCCGGCGGTGTCCCGGGGGGGACAAGGTCCTGGGGACCCGGAGCTAGCCCTGCCCCAGCAAGGGCCGAGAGGGACAGAGGATGACTCACTGCCAGTCCAGGAGGACCTGAGTCTGGAGCTCAGCGCCGAGGCTCTAGCCACACAGCTGGTTCTGACCATTCTAACCAGACCTCACCCCGATTCCACCCAACTTCAGGGCTCCCTGCCACAGCGTTACCATTGCGTGGCTTCTGGGTCTCCCGGGGTCACTCCTATGCGGGCCGCAGCCAGTAGAGGTCACAGCAGGCGGTGGGGAGCACTCCGTTCATGGACCAGTGCTCAGGCACCGCGCTTAGGCGCCTTGACACCGGAAGAACCCGCCTACCTTGGCCCACCTGATTGGACAGTTCATACAGCCCGCCCCTTCGTCACTGATTGGCTCCTGCTCTATTGCCCTCCCTCAGAGCCAAAACAAGGAAAGAAAGGAACCCCTGTCTGCAAGAGTGGATCCCAGCGGAAAGGTTGCAGCACAGACTTCGGGCCCGGCTATCTTCTACTGTGTTAACCTCGCCTCGCCTGCAGGATACTTGCATTTAAGGGCTCTATCCCAGGCTTTTCAGTGCTGCTCCTGTTGTCCAAGCGGGAGCATTTAATTCAGAAAGTATGTAGCAGAGTTTCGGTCCCTAGCCCAGTCCTCACCATCTTGAGCACAGTACACAGTCCTGGGTCTGAGCAGCTGTCCTTGACGGGTTCATGGGCAGTGCGACTATGATTACACACATACGCTCCATCTGTCTTTTCTTCAGCTTTAGCACTGTAAAAAGAAAGAAACAGACTCATGTGCACAGGTTTATGAACAAAGGGCTGGGAACCAGTGGACGTGAAACAGTGGAGCTGGGGTCTGGGATTGGAGGAAGGAGATAAACAGAAGGCATAGTGAGGATCCAAAGCAAAACTGGAGAGGTCATTTGCTCTGGAACAGAAAATATTTTTACTGACAGTGGAGGGTAAAGACTGGTGAAATAAACCTTACAAATAGGAGACAATGGAGATTCATTCTGTAGGCCTTCATTTTTCCCAGAAAACTTCCAGGCAGCCCAGAGTGTAGGTTTGGTTTATCTTGCAGAAAATCAGAACTACTGATCTGCTTATCACACACCGTGGAGTCCACCACACATTCATGTGGCTTCAGTCCGGGGGTATTTTCCTGTTCACTCTGGCTGAGAGCAGTGTGACGATGACTCAGTTGAGGCCTGCATGGGGAGAGGGATGTTACACAGCTCAGGAATGTTCTGGGTGCCGCAGTAAGACCAGTGAGGGAGCCGGGCACCTGCTGGTGCTGATGAGCCAGAGAGAGAAGGGGCAAGGTAATAGAGGCTTTCAGCAAGCCAGCTTTTCCTTGGAAGTTGTAAATGAAAGACTAATTTGCCTTTTGTCCTTTTCCATATTTGCTTTGTAGTTTTTATTACATCCATACTTTTTCCCTTGGTCTTGCAGTAGATGCCCCCTGAACTCACAGTAGGTGAAAACAGGAGCCACACACCTAGGCTTTGAGGATGTGACTGCATCCTGCCTTAGAATGGATGGGAACGCAGAGGGCTACAGGTTAGCAGACTCCAATACACACAGCACGCTGTAAGCGTGAGCCCTCCAGGATGAGGATGAAGCTACTCACCTTCTTGCTGGGACTCATGGTGCCTCGGTGAGGCTGAGAAGCAGGCGTGTGCAAAGCAGGCATAGCGGAGCCCTCAGGGACATAAGGATGCTCCTGCACACCTCAGCTTTCTAGGTCACTTCCCGTTCCATTTAAGAGAAATGCTACAGGAGAGGGGCTTGACCAACCTAAGTGGCACCACGCAGTTAATTACCTCAACACAGTTCACATCTTTCTGTTCCACTAGTCCTCACTTAGACTCTTAGTACCAAGAAAGAAGGTGCCACTACACCTTCTTAGGCAAAACAATAGAGATAGAAACTGTTTGTTTGCTTGTTTACAGCACAGGGGATTGGACCCAGAAACTCACATGCTAGACAAGTGCTCTACCACTGAGCCAACTCCCATCCCTAGGCATTCTCAGGAGTTGTAGATGGAAGGCAATGGTAAAGGCTGTATCAGAATTAAACATTAAAAAAATGGAAATATACATGTTTATTAATTACATTTATTCAGAGTCTTCATTTTACCAGCTGTGCTGCCTAAAGCTTGCATCATCCTGTTTAACCAATTAAAAATGTGTAAATATTCCCATCTATATATTCCTCGAGTTGGGATCCAGCCATCCAATAGCAATTGTGGTGAATATCAAGAAAATCTTTAAGATCAAAGTAGCAGCAGCAGCATCCAGCCCAGTAAAAGCTAGGAGGAGCAACAGCATGTGGTGACGGCAGTGTGAACACACTGTGGGTGTGCAGGGTTTATCTGCCAACCAGGCCAGGGCCCTCATGATGTGCCCATGTGTCAGAAGAGGGAAAGGGCAGTGCTGCTGCTTAGGGGAGCTCTGGATCCGTGCCCTGATGCATGATTTAGTAAGCAGTGAACCGGAGCTCAGTGTCAAGTCAGCGTTGAGTCCACGGCATCCATAGCACCAGATCCAGCAAAGCTGCCCCCGCCTTGTGTTCTTTGTATCATGGCTAAATATTCCATTTGCCTTCCCTCGTGTCACTGTCGCTGTCACTGCTGCTGTCGGATCACTGGCAGTGGCCACTGCAGTCAGGTTGCCCAGGGCTTCCTTTTGTCTGGGTCCATTGCAAAGCCTGACATTGCTCTCTGGGAGACTCATGAACAGGGAAGCTGAAGGCACCCACAGGCTTCACAGCCTCAGTGTCTTGGGCAGGACTGTTGCACACTCTTGCACTGTCCATACATTCACTCAGCAGTTCACGTCTAGGAATTTGAATACACTTTGTGAAACACTGCAACATTTTCTAGGCTTCCTGGGCCCCGCCAGCGCTTAGAAAGAGGACAGCTGTGCAGTTGGGACATTGGCTGGCCAGCCGGGAGCGGTCTGTGGCTTCTTGGCTCTCACAGGTCGGTTTCAGCAGCAGTGGGCAGATGCCATCGGAAGCTGCAATGTGTGTTTGTTCCTTGCCATGAGCTCAGGATTTCATCCTTAGGTCCCTGTATTCTTTATATCTTTCTCAGTCTGAGGAATCATTTCTTGTCAACTTGCCAAATCCAAAGCTCGTAGATTTATCAGTGCTTCGGAATGGGGAAAGAACCCCAGAGGTATCAGATTCTTATATCACTTTAATGTGATATCAGTTTGTTCCATGAGACCAAGCAAACTGAAGAATTTGGAATAACAGAAATTACAAACAAATCAGGTCCGATGACTTTCCATTAGTTACCCACGTTTAAAATGCTATCTTCTTGGTAAGCCACGTCCAGATCTGCGAGGTATGAGCAAACATTCTTAGCCGACTGAGAAAACTTACCATCACCCAGGTCCATTGGAGAAAACATCCTTCCCACTAATTCATTCATTATATTGTAGATGATGAGGGAGTGTCCTTTTGAAGAGTTTGCATGTTGACAAGACACCTGGGTAAGATGATGATGTGTTGCAAGCAAGGGTTCTATTCCAGTGGCTTTTATTTCATGAAAGGTCTCCAAGGCTGGGAATTTCCCACATGTGTAAAATCTTCGCAGATATCTCAGAATCCTATTAAAGTCTGTACACTCGGTTTCACTCTCTGTGCAACCATATGCTTTAGTAGATCCAGCTACCTGATTTTGACAAAGCAGATCAAAAACTGTCACTGCAGGAAAGATAGACTCTAACCAATGGAGCTGCAAAAACTGGCTGTCTACATGCTGAAGATTGAACCCATATCTCTCTGTAAGCTAGAATCAAAATGGATCATATATCTAAATATTAAAATAGAAACCCTTAATCTATTTGAAGCAAGCTAGGTAACACTCTTGAAGCTATAAGTTTAGGCCAGGACTTTCTGAACATAAGGTGAGTTTCACAAGAAATAATACCAATTATTGACAAACATGATCATACCAACTTGAGAAAGTTCTTCACGGCCCCTTGTTACCTTTGCTGCCTTGTGTGTGCTCTGTTGGGTCTGATCTGTGATGCCAGTTTGTCACCCCTGCTTTGGAGTCAGCTGATTATGGACTGAAACCTCTACAAACTGTAAGCAAATAAACCCCTTCCCTTCTAACTTTGGTCGTCAGACATTTTATCTCAGCAGTGAGAGAGAAAGGTAGCCAACACAGAAATTTGGTACCAGAGAAGTGAGGTCATTGCTGTGACTTTACCCAGTCATGTGGCTCAAGAGGTTTTGGAACTGGCTTGTGGGAAGGAGAAGAGTTAGGAAAGATCTGGAGGTGATGGCTTCAGAAGCAGCACTGGAAGGCCTTAGACTGTTTTGTATGGGAGACTCTGGTCAGAGCTCAGAAGACCAGAAGGCTGGTAAAGACTAGGCTCAGGAGGTTTCTACTATGAAGAAGGACTGCAATGGCTGTTGGACTCCAGATGATGTGTGTTATGGGTTGGCAGAAAGTTTGTCGGCACTTTGCTTGTGTCCAGAGACTTTGCCTGAGCCTGAGAATGGGGTGGTGGACTAATTAATCAGAAGAAATTTCAAGGCATTCAGATATTGAGGCAGTGGCATGGCTACGTTGGGGGGCTTTTAGCCAAATCTATGTGGAGAATCAAGAGCAAAGAGCCCAGCAGAATGATTTAAAATGTTTTGAGTTGGGCCAGAAAGGAAGCTCCAGTGAAGCTGTGGACTGTAAAGATAAAGCAGAGCAAATCTTGATGACTGAGAAGAAACAGAATAGAAAAGATGGTTTGAGGGCATCATGGGAAGCAGGAGGACCCCACTCTTTGCAGCCTCAGAGTTGTAAACGTGAAAGATTTTGCTTTGAGAAGAAAGCCCCAGAGCACAATGTTCCAAAATGGTGGCAGCCTAAAGAAGTTTTTCCTCAGGATTTGGTTTATAGGCATTGGACCCCTACAGCCAAAAGAGAGGAAAGACTGGCTTCCTCTGCTCCAGCTGGCAGCAGACCTTGAAATCATCCATGTGGCGAGGGTTTCAGGCACATGCCTAATGCAAGACATGTGGGGTCAGGAAGGCTTCCACCCAGATTTCAGAGAAGGCCTGGGAAGCCAGGCAGGGTGCCCATCAGAGGGCAGTGTGTGAAGCTGTGAGTGTGAAGATGAAGGTGCATTGGAGACACCAGAACTTTGGAGAAGCCAGGAGTGTAGCTTGTCTGAGGAAAGCTGCAAGGAGGGAGCAGAGCCAGTCCAAGAGAGAAGCCATGGGTGCTACAACCACCCAAAGTCCCATAGGGGTGGAGCCACCAAAACCCTTTGGAGTTCACAACTTGCCACATACTGCTGAAAATGCTAGA